CCCCCCCCAAATCGAATTCGCAGGTTTTATTTAAATTGCTATGTACTGTGACGCCTCAAGTAATAAACAACTTAACAAAGTGACCAAGATTTGGTTTCCCCCCCCCCCATTTGAAAAAAACAGGAATAATGCCCCTGAGGAACATGACATATTGCAATATCTTGACATCAAAATGTTACATAGCTTTACTTTTATGTAGTGTGGAGCTGTCCAATGTTCCAGTTAATGATTAGGCTTCTTTACTCTAATATACTTTTACATGTTAAAGTCCTTTTGGCTATCAAATGATCTAATTATTTTTAAATATTTTTTTTTTTATTTTCAACAAAATCACGGCACGGTCTATGCTATTTTTAGCTACGACATAGGGTCACGTGACAGGGTTAAGATGGGTTTTAGGGTTGCTCGTGACGTCACTGCCCTAATTATTGTTGGGCTCTAAAAAAAATGATTAAAACCTTTTGTTGAATGAAGCACCGTCATCGTGAAATGTACATCCAAAATACCCCACGAAAGTGCGAAGACAGCTTTGACTAATTACATTTTAAGTTTAGATTGTTCCGTTTAATTGTATAATGTTCTTTGTATATGGAACTATTTTTGGCTGTGCTGTGTTCTTTTTTTTTTTTTTTTTTTTTTTTTTTTTTTTTTTTTGATTTTTTTTTTGTTTTTTTTTTTTTTTTTTTTTTTTTTTTTTTTTTTCTTAAATTTTAATTTGGCCTACATTAGGAGACTAGAGATTTCTTTTTACTTTTTATATCAAATTGTGTTGTGCGCTGTAAAAAAAAAAATATTTCAGCATATTTCCATCAGTGAAATCATCTTTGAATTTAGTGTTTCATTTGCTGCTTGTTTGTTAAAGGGCTTTTTCGAATAGATACAAAATATACTTAACAATATACTTATTACAGTCAAATGCTTTTTATTAATATTATTTTTTTTAAAATTATGCCAAAAAATAAATAGCGAAACAATAAAAAGGCCAATTAAGATCTACTAAGTTGAATCATTTTTAGGGCGGGACAAAATCACAAGGTCCCACAACTGTTGTCTAACTTTATGTCATGTAGTCTCCAAATCCTAAGAGTAATCCCAGTGGTTATTTTGTCGCTCCTGTTCCTTTCAGTCGCATACTTTACTAGAGACGTTCTTCATATGTTGAGTATAAACTGAACACATTATTGTCTTTATTGCTAATGAACATTCTGTGTTTGTTTTTTGTTTTATTGTAGGAAAGACTTAACTAACAAAAAATACCAGGACCTATTACTAGTGCCTCATCAGAAGACAACTGTTATCTGAAAAATAATAATAATAAAGGCCATGGCCATGAAATGTCTCATGTATAACCTCACGGGGCAGTACTACATCAAAGCGGAGGTCGGCGGACCGGCTCCGGCCCACGAGATCTCAGTTACCAGTCCGCAGAAGATGAATTTTAAAAAAAAATGTTTCTTTTAAAAGACAATCAACTTAGACACCGGTTTGTGCTGCTCTATGTCGTATGTGGTCCCCGTAGTGCCCCGATGAGTCTAATTTCAGGATTATATGGCTATTAACCGCTTCATATTTTTTTAATTAGTTAAAATATCCTCCAACCAATTTTTTAGCAAATGACGTCACATCTGTAAAAAAAAAAAAAATACTAAAAATCATGAGAAATTGAAATAATTTAAAAATAAATCTAAATACTTTAAATACAGATTCTAAAATAAAAAGTCAGTAAACTTGGCTCTGATATATTTTATTAAAAACTAGTTAGTCTAGTAATTGTGTACACACGCATGTCCACGTTACGTACAAGGTTGTGAAGTTTACATATAAAAATAAATGAGGTAAAGATCCACGGCTTTGTTATCAGACATATATATGTGTTGTGCTGTTCTAGATCTCAATACCCAGTGCCATAAAACATTGAATACATCATTTTGCCACTTTTCTTGTGTGTTGGTTTGATTTCATTTGATAGGCAGATGTTGACTTCTTGTGGGTTTATTTATTTATTTTTGTTGTAATATTTTAATTTTTTTTAACTTGTTCGTGTCATTTTGTTAACTTGGACTTTAAAAAAATAAGACCAAAGATCTCCATTCCGAACAGAAAGGACTAGCCACACGAAACAATACTATGTTAGTCATTGAACTCTAGCCCCATTCCCACTGAACTCTAACCCCGTTTCCATTGGCGTGGGCCAAGAACCGTGCCCAGGAATTCATAATGAGATATTACCAATTATTTTGTATTTGTTCAAGTTTGTCGACCACCCCTTTTTTCCATAACACAAGCACAATGGCTTCCTCTGCATTCAACAATAGTCCTACAACACTAACAAGCACAATGGCTTCCTCTGCATTCAACAATAGTCCTACAACACTAACAAGCACAATGGCTTCCTCTGCATTCAACAATAGTCCTACAACACTAACAAGCACAATGGCTTCCTCTGCATTCAACAATAGTCCTACAACACTAACAAGCACAATGGCTTCCTCTGCATTCAACAATAGTCCTACAACACTAACAAGCACAATGGCTTCCTCTGCATTCAACAATAGTCCTACAACACTAACAAGCACAATGGCTTCCTCTGCATTCAACAATAATCCTACAACATTCAAACCTCAAAAGAACATAGCATTTTAAGGACCTTTAAACTATTTTTAAAAATTTGAACACTTTCAACTTTTATATTGTAATTTTTTACAATTCTTAAATATAATATTATCTGTATTTTTAAACTTTATGTCAAACTTTGACACCACATCATGGCCCTCCAAATACACACACGAGAAAAAACTGATTAATTGACCAAAACAATTATCCTAAAATCTGCCTTTGAAATTTTGTTTTGATAAATCGTCTTTAAAGTTGAAAGCAATTTTTTGTCTGGGGTTGTCGTAGAGCATTTTAAATTAAACTAAAACTTTTCAACCCTTTCAGGGAAAGCTTTAAACGGAGACCCTAAAATGCACCCGAGTGTGTGTGTGTGTGGGGGGGGGGTACTAGAGTTTGTGACGCCAGTGGTGGTTCTAGACCCTCCCCCCCCCACACACACACACACTTTTCACTCACGAGAATAACGAAACCTTCAGATTACACTTACGACAGAAGGGGGCGCCATACGATGTAGTAGTAGGCCTGCAAGTAGTGGTATGACAATGCCACCAGGGCCCCAGTTTGTGGGTGGAGAGTTCAGACTTATCTCAAGTTGAGTTAATTAAATTTTGAGACTGAGAAAGCAGCAGATATTGATCGAAGCAAACCAAAGACTGATCATCATTTGTTTTTTTAAATTCATAGATGCGCGTCAAACAACAGACTCTCTCCTAGTCATCTCAAAGAACCTAAAAATGAGCATCAAGCTATTTGCGTGTGTGGCTTTTGTTAGGGGAACCTTTCAAAAACAGAAACGTTTCAATGAACTATTTGCGATCTATCATGGGACAGTCAAGTTTATCTGATTTTGCTTTTTAATATATTCACAAATTATGCTATTGTAAGTGTTGCAGATGTCAAGATCAGATTTTTACATATTTAAAAAAAAAAAATATTTATAAAACATTTTTTTTAATTAGCTAGGGGGGAGGTGGGTGTAACTCTTTAATTCCTTTGTAACTTGAGTTTGCCGTACTGTATGACACTATCCCTAGTGACGCCACTGTCTACGACACAAGTTCATGATTACCCTATTTAAATGAGCCTATTTCGGATGGCTATCCATGGGTTTGGAAGTTGGAACCCCTCGTCCTTACAACGGCCATCATCCCTAGTTACTAGCAATGTTTAACCCCTCGTCCTTACAACGGCCATCATCCCTAGTTACTAGCAATGTTTAACCCCTCGTCCTTACAACGGCCATCATCCCTAGTTACTAGCAATGTTTAACCCCTCGTCCTTACAACGGCCATCATCCCTAGTTACTAGCAATGTTTAACCCCTCGTCCTTACAACGGCCATCATCCCTAGTCAATGTTTAACCCCTCGTCCTTACAACGGACATCATCCCTAGTTACTAGCAATGTTTAACCCCTCGTCCTTACAACGGCCATCATCCCTAGTTACTAGCAATGTGCTGAATGGCGGATTTTAGGAAGTTTTTAGTCAAGAATTTTTTTTTTTTTACCTAATTTCACCTATGCTAGGGTGACCAAATCATGAACTGGAAAAAACGGGACACATTCGAGGAGGGTGGCCGAATGGTCTAAACTGAGCAAAATCTCAAGTTGGTGGTCTGGAGTTCAATTCCAACCAGAGCCCAGTCAAGCAATAACACCACCAGCACCCCGGGTAGATGAGACTCGTTAACCTTGGATGGCAACTCATCTAAGAGAAGGAAACTCTGAAATCAAACCCGGATATGGAGTCCCGAAAGGCGGATTACATTGGTACAATGAAACATTCCGGCAACTCCTGCCACGTCACTGGTGCTAAGCTGTATCATCCATTGATGTTCCCTTGGGTTACCCAGTGGCGTGGAGAGAGGCGATTTGCTGTTGGGAGCCAGCTTATAATCCTTGAAGTATAATCCCAGGCCATGTGGATTTCGTCCTCCGAAGCCCACTCCATCGTCACATTGTGACGGACGGATGCCGAAAAAAAAACAAAACAAAAAAACACTCGAGGAGGGTTGGGGTGGGGGGGATACTTTCCAGCTAAAGAGGAGTCGCCTGGCCTCTGCCGGAAACTGTTTATTGAAATATGCTCATTTAACAATTTTGAGACCCAGAAATCTTTTTAAATTACCTCCACTTTGTAATTTAATTTAAACCCTGAAGCATATTATAAACGAAACAATAATTTTGCAGTGAACACTTATTTATTTATACATATTTTTACAACATAATATAACACAACTAATTAAATTTCTCTAGGCTAGGATCTCTAAATTTTTATTCTTAGAAAATCAACTAATTAGTGACCGACAACGGCATGTCAATACAATATTACAGGCTTAAATTAATATCGACACCGTAGTCTTGCGGGAAAACTCCGAATTTTTCATTGACAACAAAATGGCTGCGCCCTTAGTGAATTGCAGGGTACGGGAGTGTAGAAAATGCATGTCCCTTTGGTTGCGTTACAAACGTCAGGCACACACAAACCCATGGAAAGACACCTCATCAAGTGCAGAATTTGAATTCGAACTTGGGGATAGGTAATTATTGATTTTTAATTATCAATGAAAGTCTCACATTACAAGTGAAAGTATCAAAATATTCAAAATCGTGCCGATAAAAGGACCAAGGTAGATACTTTGGTCAAAAATTTAAACATTTTGTAAAAATAAACCAATGGCATAGTTGAATAGAGCTAAATTTTTACAGAATTATAACACCAAAATTATATTCTTAGCTGTTGTAGTTTTAAAGTTATGAATTTTTAAAGTACGACTTGGTTTGTCCGGACTGCATCTCCACATTCTGTGACCTCATTCCGCCGATCGCGTCATGCGCAATCAATGACTATATAGTTTATATAAGGCTAAGGCATTCCCTTATCACTAAAATACTGTTTAGGGTCGATTTATTTTAAACTTTCAACTTTGGCACATGAATAATTAATTAAAGCTTTCCCTGACCAATGGTTTAATAGTTTTTGCACACGGCAAACACTTATGAATGAAACTCTGAGATAGTACTACGATATAGCCGTTATGCAAGTGGCTGTGAATGGTTGCCAATGACAACGTGTTGCACACGGAAATTTCTGATCATTTATAATATGGACTCTACAGGGTTTTTAAAGCTCAAATTAAAACATTCCAGTTTAAATGTCTTCAAAATGCATTCTGAAACACAAGTTATCAAATATTTTGATGTATATAGTGGTAATAATTAAATATTTCTTAAGTATCGGCAACTTCCGCCATTAAAAAGGGGGTGTGGCCCACGCCATGTCGAAATAAGGCTGAGCCCCCTTATGGTGATATGGGTTACTGGGAGAAGCGTAGCGAACGTGGGACACGACCTACATCAATGAGAATTGGCACAGATATATATCAATATCTAATGCCTTACACGATTTAATATGAAAGACATGTTCCTTTTATTTCACAAAAAATTTTCTATTCGAAGATGCCTTATATATAACAAAGATTTTCAAAATGAAGTTGGATTGAAAATAGCAAAATAGTTGGATGGAAATGTAGGCCAAGATGTCTTCCAAATTATAAGGCCGGAAACGGAACTCAAATATCTGTCCAAAGAACTAATTTAATAATAAATAGACACACACATCGGAAAATTAAAAACTCGGATTTTTCGGCGCCGACGCCTATTTCCGATTCAAAAAAAGTAGTAGTCTCCCTTGTTTTATCGAAGTATCTAACCAAGGAGTACTGAGACTGAGTGAGATTACTGAACTACTCTGAATGACTCTGATTAAACATTCACCGTCAGTCAGATATATGATGCCGATATGCCTCGGATATTGATATGCAGACGAATTAATATGAATGATGATGAAATGAGAAGTTGATTATTAAATAATAAGATATTAAGACAAAATCTGATGAAAATGATTACATAAATAAATTAAATTATTATGACTAGGCCTGGTTATTATTAATATTATTTAAATTATTTATATTAATATTTGTTAAATGCAGACATTTGGCTGGTGCCATGACGTATCATACACCCGTGAATTTTTACGAGTTAACAGGTCGAGCAACCAAGATGGCGGCATTGAAAAATATAATAACTCACGTTTGCTAAAATTAGGGATAAAACGTTAAAATTTAGACTAATTAAAATATGTTCGCCGGCGCATAAATTTTGTGGTGATTGTAGCTACTTTATTGTATCCTGTGCAGCAAGAAGCATCAACGACCTAAGGTCGCTCCCTTTCCTCACGTAATTCAGCTGGTACATAAATTTAGAGGTGCCGGTGAGCATTGCTACTTTATTGTATCCCTCTAGATATGCTGCAAGAAGCGCCAACAAACTGTAGTCACACCCTTTCCTTGTGTAATTTCAGCCGTTACACACACAAAACAAAAACACAAAATGACATCATGGCAGCAATTGTCTGCATTGACCATATATTTATATTTAATTTCTGTAACCATGAAATTCACTGAAACTGAAATGTAAATTTAAGGGAAATTTGTATTTTAGTGTCATAATTAATAATTTAAATCTTAAGCCTAAATATTAAGCATAAATGATTGAAATATAATCTTGTTTAATGGCAATTGAAAGATCATGTTTTTAGTTGGCAGTGTTGGTGTCACTCTTTGGAAAGCTGAGGGCCAGCTCTTTCCAATAATTAATATGCCATTTATGTATGTCAGATTGGTAAATTTATGCACTATCTGGTTCCCCTCTGGTTCTTTTCATGTGTTTTTCATTACTCTTTTTTATAATTCTGTGTTGCCACGACAGGAGATGTCATGGCAAAAAAGTTGGATTAAAGCTATTTGTGTATGTCAGATTGGTAAATCCGGTTTCCCCCATTCATTTGTTTTTGCACTACTTTTTTTTATATGGTTGCCATCTTTGTTGCCAGGACATCTCCTGTCAGGGCTAAAAAGTTAGCAGCTGTATTAAATAAGCAGTGCTAAAAAGGTGAGGGGGGAGAGGAGCGTGTGTTTTAGCTATTTATCGAGAAGAATACAAAATAAGGTAAATTATATCACTCTGCCTAACCTGAATTTCTAAATGTCCTGAGCAAGAAAAGCAATATTTTTAAGGCATGAAGTCAGTAATCCCTAATTCAAGTGTATTCTTCAAGCTTAAATTTGGTCCCATCCCCCCACCCCCTGAAGCACAATCTGAAAACCTGAATTTTGTCACCCCCCCCCCCCCCCCTTTCCGCCTTCCCAACTCTAGTGTAAATCTTCAAACCTAAAATCTATTATGTAACTTGAACCTTAGTAACAATCCGTGACCAAACATAGGGGAGTTCACTCATCCACCAAAATTCAGGGGACGCGTACCATAAGTTATATGTATTTGAAAATTTGAGCTGGAGTGCCTACCATGATAAAACTATAGAAAGACCTATGAGTTTGAAATTACACTAAACATACTGAGATGACAAAACTTAAGCTGAGAGCTATAATAGGTCAATACAAATGATTTGAATGCAGTTAAGGATGCCTTCTAAATAGATCAAGTTGAATTTCATTGTAGAAAAAGTAAGAAAGAGAAAGAACTTTAAAATTGACCAAATCAAAATTACTCTCATGATACAAATGTAAAGTTCAGATTATTGTTACAGTAGTCTTATATAGCACAGTACCCCAGGGCGGGGAGGGGCTCACCGCGATTCACATAAAAACAGATCTCTCTTTGTCTAATACAATTTTTAATACAAATTTAGTATTATTCTCTTTTACTTTATTACTGAAGTACCTAGTTGTGAGTTATAAATATATATTTTGAAAACTATAATAAGTACATGTTCTTTTTTTTATCTAGAGTGTTTAAGTTTAGTACCGGTAAACTTGCAAGATTTGCAGATGGCGCTGCAGTTGCACAGGTATGATTCTAATCTATTTAATGAGATAAAAACATTTTATTCTCTTGTAAAAATTATGTAAATAAAAATAAATTTTTCTCACATTCTTACTTTTCCATTTATAAAAAATAACATTTGTATTAAATGATTTCAATGAGAGCACAATGACGAAAAAATGTAAAAAAAAAAACATTAAAAAGCCCTTAATGCTTATTTAGGTTTATAAACAATAAATACAGATACCCTAAATTCAACATGTCATTCCAGTTTGGAGATACATCTGTTCTTGTCACTGCTGTCAGTCAAAAACAAGGGGGCCCACAGTCCTTCTTGCCCCTTACAGTAAGTTATTTGTAGTTATTAATTAATGTAAGCTGACAATGTCACCAAAAAATTACTTAACTGACTTTTTTTCCAACTAAGAAGACTTTTAACTCATTTTTATCCTGAAGATAGTTTTATTATTAATCTACTGTAACTAGACAACATTACAAAAGCTAAATATAACTAACTTCAATCACTATTCATTGTCATTTTTCTTTGTGTTCATTATAATAAATTGTATCTTACCCCATTTACTGCGATCCAAGTGTAATGCCAACCAACCCCTACCTTTTTGTTTGAAAAAAAAAAGACCTAAAATGCCATGTCCACATTTAATGACTTCTGTTAATCTTGCCCATAATAATAAAATACTAATTAAGGAAATACATTTTTATTTCAAAGAAAAATGTCAAAGTTCTTTAAATTATTATATTTTAAATGAACGGTTATCATAGTGATACAACTATGCTAATATTCCCTCAAAGTGGCGCTACATGCGATACCTGCATTAAAATTTAGTAAAATTTATCGCTTATCAGTTATGAAAAAATTCTTACACACGCCTATAATGCAAACCCCTAATCTTAAGGAGCATTTTAAAATCAAATTTCTTGCATTATACGCAGTAATATATGCAGTACTTGTATCTGACTAATTTGAAGTTGATTTATGTCTATGGTATAACCATTTCTGAATGACTTGAGTTATATGGGGAGTTCACATAAAGGTTTATAATTGTAATATAAGAATAATAAGATGAGTTTTATTTTAGTTTAATTCAAAATGTCTTCTATGGGTTATTTCTTTGACTAATGACATTAAATGCATTGCCCCAATTAGGTGGATTTTCGCCAAAAAGCAGCAGCTGCGGGAAGGATTCCAACTAACTATTTAAGACGAGAACTTGGCCCTTCAGAGAGAGAAATTTTAACAAGTCGAGTGATTGGTCTGTACACAACTTAATGGCTTGATCTTTTCCTTGTATGTGGTCTTATCGGTTAAATCTATTTCTTCCTCATTGTTTTTATTGAGCCGAGTAACATTGATCTCAAATGAATATGCTTTCTCTGCTTGTTCACAGATAGATCATTACGACCACTTTTCCCTCCTGGTTTTTATTATAACACACAGGTGGGTACAGCTCGTAAAATATTGTTATCAGTCATTGTATTCAATAATGTTGAAGATAGCCAGAAGGCGGATTAGATTGGTCAGTAGAATTTCAGTGAGTTCAATTCCTTTTAATTTAACTTTTTTGGCAAGCGTGATAAACATATTTTAGATTCCAAACACAGTAAGTTGAGGACCTCTCCCATTGATGTTTGGAAAAAAGATTTTAGTATTACTTTAAAAGTCAGTTGGCTAACAAGAATAAGCTTGATATTTCATTTGCAAATATTACATGCACTGAACAATTGAGTTTAGTTAGTTGGACAATGTCACCATGCCAGTTTATTTAGTTGGACAATGTCACCATGCCAGTTTAGTTAGTTGGACAATGTCACCATGCCAGTTTATTTAGTTGGACAATGTCACCATGCCAATTTATTTAGTTGGACAATGTCACCATGCCAGTTTATTTAGTTGGACAATGTCACCATGCCAGTTTAGTTAGTTGGACAATGTCACCATGCCAATTTATTTAGTTGGACAATGTCACCATGCCAGTTTATTTAGTTGGACAATGTCACCATGCCAGTTTATTTAGTTGGACAATGTCTCCATGCCAGTTTATTTAGTTGGACAATGTCTCCATGCCAGTTTATTTAGTTGGACAATGTCACCACTCGGGATAAATAAACATACTATTGGATAACATTTGTTGGTGTAACCCTGTGTTTCATATTTGAACAACTGTTTTCCTCTAACTCTCCAGGTAATATGTAACCTTCTTGCGGTTGATGGAGTCAATGACCCAGACATTGTCAGCATTAATGCAGGTGAGATATGTATTATGACACATTGTTTTAGCTGACATTTCTATGACAGTCTGCGATCGTCATTGACGAAGGGTGTGACTAAAAGCATAATAATTTTGGTCTATAATAAAATTTAGCTTGGACCTTACCTCCTTATAGAATCGTATTTAATTTTTCCAGCATCAGCGGCCCTGGCTGTTTCAGACATACCATGGAATGGACCTGTTGGTGAGTAACAGATCATTAATATAGAATCGGGAAATCAATTATTTAGATATAAGCTAATACCTTTTGTCTTCTCTTTTGAGGTCTCTCTACATTCTCTGACAAGATATCTCGAGAAAATTGTTATTTTTATGTTGTTGTTTTTTTTAAACAAATATATTTATCCATTACTTAAACCCATCATTTGGCAACCTGAATGAATATATAAAGCTCATTTCATTTTTAAACATTTGATTTTTGTACTTTAAAAAGAGTGAATAAATAATTTAATTACAATATTTGTTTTAATGTGGTTTCCAGGTTAAAAATTATCAGAAGTAAAATATTACTCCATAATTCATGTGCCCGTTCCTTCTCCCACTCTGCCTTTTCCTTCTCCCACTCTGCCCTTTCTTTTTCCCCACTCTGCCCTTGCCTTCTCCCACTCTGCCTTTTCCTAATGCTCCCTAAATTGCTCTTGGGAGGTATAACTTATAAACTGGCTCTTCAATCAAAAACGATTGTAGACACCTTATTAAACTAAGTGTTCTTCATTTACTCATAAAATTGTCTAAACTGATTTTCTTGTACTAACACAGCTGCCGTCCGTGTTGGTGTAGTGGGAGATGAAGTGTTAATCAACCCGACACGCCGACAGCTTCAGAGAAGTTCTCTTAACCTCATTTTAACTGGCACCAGAGACAGAAAAGTGGGTAGGTGATCAGAGATAACAATACCAAGTTTTTAAATGAACATTACTCGTTGGACTGCTTTATTACTTTTGTAGCAACAGATACTATTTTAAGGTGTAAAAATAGTCTCAGCACTTTATGTGTGTGTATTAAAAAGTATTTGAGATGGGCACAACGAACGTGAGAGTTTCAACAGAGTTTTGAAATTTTAAAAGATAATACATCATCGTTTATGTGTGATTGCAATGGTATTCCAGTTATGTTAGAGGGCGAGGCAGACAGGCTGAGCCTTTATAAAGTGGAGCAGGCGTTGTCACAGGGTGTCAAGGCGACACAAACCATCATAGAAAAAATCTCAGAGCTCCAAGCCAAAGTTGGGAAACCTAAGAGGAACGTAGATCCCCCGAAGGAACAGCCGCAACACGTTGTAGATGGTATTAAAAGGTGTGTACTGTTGAAATGATAGATGGTATTAAAAGCTGTGTACTGTTGAAATGGTGTTAATCTGTTTATTTATGTTTTTGTTTGTCTTGTAATGTGGCTGGACTTAACATGTTTAGACAAATTATTATTACATTATATTCACCCGCATTATTGATAAAACCATTCATTACTTTACTTAGAAATTTCTGTGTACAGAATCTTGTATGAATCAGAGGAATGTGTCTTGTTTTGTTGGATTTTTTTGATCATGCTACAGGTGCATTAAAAAACATAAGCAATGCAGTGCTAAATTTGTTTTTTGTACAATGGATAAGCATTTTAATATATTAAAACCATTATAATAATAAAAAGTATTTAACCTTGGCATCAAAATGAACCTTTAATTTTGATGCCAAGATTAACTACTTTAAAAAAAATCTCTTTCAGTCTGGCCTTGAATCATGTCAGAGATATTTTGTACAACAATGAACACGATAAGGTATGATATGTGTTGTATTTTGTCCAAGTTGAATGTGCTCTGTTAATAACTGTTGGGATACTGATGTGTAAAGACTCTTTTTTTTTTTATTTAAAGTGTCTTCTTTAAAACTTTCCGTGGAAAACATTGCAAATTGAGGAAATCTTTAATGGTACTTAAATATGAGGGAGTTGGTAAAACATTTAAATTTTCAACAAAAATGAAGAATGATTTGCTTCTCATAATCTATATTTTCGCATTTATTTAAGCTAGATTTGGAGTTGCAACAGTTTCTCAGATTCTAGCTCATACTATTTGATCTTCAGTCAGATTTGTTTAAAACCAAATGTTCGATGATTTTGATAGATTTCCAGAGATCAAGCCTTAAAGGCATTAGGAGAGTCAGTGATCACAGATGTCAAAAGTAAGTTCAATCAGTGTTTTTGTTGCTTAGGATGTTAAATCATTTATACAAACTTGAGTGTTGGTTTAAAGAAGGGTTCATTGCATGCGTTTCAGTCATTTTCAGTCAAACAGAAATAAAACCTTCATTTATTATTTAATTCAATTCAATTTTTGTTTTATTTTGATTTGTAAAGAGATTTATAAATCAACATTTAAAAAAAATAAGAATCGAACAATTGTTTATTTAAGTCTCAATCTCATTATCTGATAAACTATTTTCTTAGAGAGTTTTCCAGATGAAGATGAAATTCTGATATCTGCTTGCTATCAGGCTTTTGTGAAAAAAGTATTCAGAGACCTTATCCTTGATGAAGACAGAAGGTAAGCAAGTATTCAGAGACCTTATCCTTGATGAAGACAGAAGGTAAGCAAGTATTCAGAGACCTTATCCTTGATGAAGACAGAAAGTAAGTACCTTGAAAGGCATTGACTTTTAGTGTTGACGAGATGAAATGTTTGACCCAAGTGTAGCATAACACACGAAACAAAATGGAAGAACCAGATTAATGTAAATGCGCTTGAAGTTTATAAGTAAGTCTAAGAGATAAAATTATCATTGAAAGAGGATAGTTATAAGAGGATAGTTATGGTATGGTAAAAAATTAATGTGTATCCAGTTATTTATTTCGAATTATTTATTTTCTAGATGTGATGGGCGGGCTTTAAATCAGCTCCGTGACATATCTTGTGCTGTTGATTTGTACAAACCTCTCCATGGATCAGCTTTATTTCAACGAGGACAAACTCAGGTAGGACTTGTTTGCCTGATAAGTAAGTCTTTCAAATAGTCTAACTACAATTAAATTCTTAAGATAGCTTTTTAAAAAAATGACATGTGAAAGGTCCCTTCCAGATTTGCTCCCAGATTTATTCTCAGATTACTGCAGATTTGCCAATGGTAAAAGTGTAAACCATTGAAACCATTGGCAAAGACCATGTAATGTAACTGAAATAGGTTGTGTCCGTTTTCTCAAAGTTATTCTAGACTTCACTATGTCTTGTGTCAGGTGCTTTGTACAGTGACATTTGACAGTTTGGATTCTGCCTTCAAGTCTGACCCAATATCTGTGATAACGGGGTGAGTGTTTGCGTTGTTTGATTTCTGTGATAACAGTGTGACTTTTTGCGTTGCTTGATTTATGTGATAACGGGGTGAGCGTTAGCGTTGTTTGATTTATGTGATAACGGGGTGAGCGTTAGCGTTGTTTGATTTATGTGATAACGGGGTGAGCGCTAGCGTTGTTTGATTTCTGTTATAATAGGGTGACTTTTTGCGTGTTGTTTGATCAAAGATGAAATAACTTTAAAAACATATTGTGTGTGTATGTGTTCGATGTATGTTTTATGTGTTGAATAGGAGATCTATTAATAGATGAACCTGATTAAAATGTTCCTGGTTTTTTTCCCCCCCAGGAGTATGAAAGAGAAAAACTTCATGTTGCATTATGAGGTATGTACATTTCTTATGATTACCTGCATTATCAGGTAAGTACATTTCTTATGATTACCTGCATTATCGGGTAAGTACATTTCTTATGATTACCTGCATTATCAGGTATCTAAGTTTCCTTTGATTACCTGCATTATCAGGTATGTAAATTTCATATGATTACCTGCATTATCAGGTATGTACATTTCATATGATTACCTGCATTATTAGGGGTATGTACATTTCATATGATTACCTGCATTATCAGGTATGTACATTTCATATGATTACCCTACAGACTTTCATAAAAACTTAAGTAAAAGAAGGTAATACATTGAAATAAAAAAGCTCGTCCTTTGTCGCCTGGCTTAACAAAACAAAAGATATCATGTTTTCAAATAGTTTATTTTTATGAAGTCACATCCAACAATCTGTAAACAAATAGGAAATGAACTTTCCCACTTTTGATGATGTCATTTTGAACCACTTCCTCAGTTTCCACCTTATGCAACCAATGAGACGGGCAGAGGTGGCGTGGGTAGGAGAGAAATGGGCCACGGTAAGTCATTGTTAGTCTCTCCTCACAGTTTACACAGTTGTAATTTCAAATATGTAGGGCAACTGCTCCCTTGACCAGTAATTGCCCAGTCTTTTGATTCAAGCTTCCGCATACCTTGTTCAAATGTTACCTTCACATGGCTTGAACGCAGTCCTTCATTAAGGCAATTTAATTTTAACTCAGGGCAACTGCTCCCTGGATCAGTAAGACAATTTTAACTCGGGGCAAAGGCTCTTTTGACTAGTAAAACAATTCTAACTCAGGGCAACTGCTCCCTTGACATGAAAGACAATTCTAAATCAGCAGGTAATATACAAACACAATTCAACTTGAACCAGTTTTGTTATTTAAATAATAAGAGATCATTCTTGTACCCCCATAAATATTTGAAACATTTCTTTTGAAAATTATCATTGAATGTACTAGCAAAGAATTAAATTATGAGCAGGTTTTAATGATATACCATGGTGAATATGATTCAGACACATTTAAATTAACTTTAAAAAATGCACTTTTTGACATGATTGCATGCAATATTCAGTTATAGCGTAAACATCTTTTTAGTGCTTCTTTCTTTTTTAATGTGCTACATGTCAACTCCTACTGTCTTCTTGGATTGATTACATTCGTCAGTTCTTTTTCACACGTTGAAGCGTCGTACTATTCTCACTATCATCGAACAAACTCAACTCCTTTTCATAATAACTATAACTTTAATGTCTATGTAAATATAATACACCTAACAAAGTGAATATAGCGCAGCTCGCTATCAGACCTAAATAACACACATCCTATCACTCCAAGGTTCCACTCAAGACTGCCGCACGACTAAAAACATACGTCACAATACTGCATAGACACTACGTCACGAATCAGCATAAAAATACGTCATAGAGACAATGGCGGGAAGAGCGTTCACTAACTATAATAGTCAAGCGCGGGAAAAGCGTTCAACAACTAATGAACATAATATTGAGTCGCAACAATTTCCATATGAATGGTCCTTATCAAAAAACATTATTTAGGTATCACTGAAAATCAAACAGATTTATGATATACTGCAATAAAATAAACAATCCTTCGTACATAATTTTAAATGCAATTCAAGAGTTAAAAGTTCATGTACGACAATAAAAATCCGACCATTGAAATTGAATGTTAACATTAATTTTCATTTTTCATACCAATAAAAATAATTATATTTGTATCTAAAAAATCAGGGCAAATACATCAATATCGTTACTGAATTTGAAACTATAACTAAGTTAATCCATATCATATCATCAAGAAGGTGTATTTTTAAACAAAACCAATGGTCATCACTATAAAACCACAAAAGTATTTAACATTATTACAGGCGAGAGATGCCTCACCACAATTTAAGCAGCCTTTATTTGCTTTTAAATAACACAGCTACAGATGGCGGGACATATCTTTTGTCCGTGGATTTCACAACTTTATGCTTCAACGTGTTAATTATAATTAGAAATATCTCTCCCTGTTCTTTTGACCCGTTATCATAACTCATGTGAGACCTCACCTTTACAATACATATTTTTAAATTGTTACAAAATGAAAAACGAGTCTCATAAAAAAGAAATTCAAACAAATCAGGAACTTCAAAGCAATCATGGCAATAGTTCATTTTAACAGATTCATTTTGTTTAACAATACAATCAAAAGCCTCACCTCCCAACTCATGGACCTGACAACTCACCTCCTCTTGAAAATCATAAACAAGTGCACCTTTAGAGCTGGCAGCGCTCTCTTTAACTAATTCAACATTGGTTTCCAACTTAATGTTAGAGCACTCCTGGCTCTCAAAATCTGGACAACCATCACTCAGATTACTTGGGAATTTATTTTCATTACAGCTATCTGTAACAATATGCCCACATTTACAGGTGATTCATTATCATTACAATTATCCGTAACAATATGAAAATCTGAGCAGCCCTGGCTCACATTTACAGGTGATTCATTATGTAATGTTAATAGGCATTGTTATACTTTTAGACTCGTCGGGAGGCTCACATTTACAGGTGATTCATTATCATTACAATTATCCGTAACAATATGAAAATCTGAGCAGCCCTGGCTCACATTTACAGGTGATTCATTATCATTACAATTATCCGTAACAATATGAAAATCTGAGCAGCCCTGGCTCACACTACCTATTGATTCATCATCAATACAGCTCTCTGTAATACTATAAAATTTTGAGCAACCCTTGCTCATAACAACTTGTAATACATTTTCATTGCAGATCTCTGCAGTAACATCAAAACCTGAGCACACCTGGCTCACATTATCAACTAATTCATATTCATTACCAGTACATATCTCTGTAAAAATATCAACATTTGAGCAACCTTTGCTCACATTACACAGTGACTCATTTACATCACAATAATTATCAACAACAATTTTCTCTCCTTCCCCCCACCTCAGGGATTACACTCACCTCATCAACTTCACACAAAAAATCAGACACTTTAACTTTAGTACTTACATTATCTGATGGCTCACCATGAGATACAACAAAAATCATGTCCTCAGACAGTAGAACAGGGTTCTCTTTGCTTATTGTCTCTCCTTCCCCCATCACAGGGATTCAATTCGCATTTTCAAGTAATTTCTATAACTATGCACAATATAATCACATAGCAAAAAAAATACTTTTTTTTTTTTTACTATTGCCGGGATAAAAAATCTGCAATAGTGTTTTCTTCTCCCTTGATATATTCAATGTCAAAATTTAATTCCTGTAAAATTAATGCCCATCTGGTGACTCTCGAATTACAAAATTTAGCAGTATTTAGATATTTTAATGCTTGGTGATCACATTGAAGAACAAATCTCGCCCCCATTAAATAATAAGCCAATTTTTGAATGCCCCATATTATGGCCAAGCATTCCCTTTCTATTGTTGAATAGCGCGTTTCCCTATACATTAGTTTACGACTTATGTATCTAACTGGATGGAGGGTGTTGTTTCTGTTCTGTAACAGACATGCCCCTAGTCCCTTGGTTGATGCGTCTGTTCGAACAATGAACTGGTCATTATTGTCTGGTAGCACTAATATTGGGTTATTCGTTAAGTACTTTTGTATAGCTTCCAATGCCTGTTGGCATTCATCCGTCCAATGAATATTGTTAGGTCTACCTTTCTTGGTGAGGTCAGTCAACGGTGCTGTTAGTGTTGAAAAGTTTGGAATGAATTTGTTATAATATGAGATCAGACCAATTAATCCTCTGACTTGTTTCTTATTTCTAGGCGGATCAATTCTTAACACTTTATTTAAATTGTTACTATCGGGTTTCAATAAACCCGCACCTACCGTGTGCCCCAGGAACTCAATGGATTGTTTTCCGATTTCTAACTTGGAGGGTTTAACGGTAAAACCCGCTTTTTTAAGAATGCCAAAAACGTGTCTAGTGACATTCACGTGTGTTTCCCAGTCATCTGTGTAGATACAGATGTCGTCAAAATACGTAACTACATGTTTTACATTTGTGAATAGTTTCCTAACTATTTTGTTAAATGTTGCTGGGGCAGTTGCTAGGCCAAATGGCATATAATTATATTGATATAGCCCATCAGGGCCTTGAAAAGCTGTGTACTCTTTGCTCTTATTATCCAGGGGAATCTGCCAGTATCCTTTTGTTAAGTCCAACTTGGTAAAATATTTTGCTTTATACAACTGGGCTAACAGTATATCCTGATTCGGCATAACTTCAGCTACTGTTTTCGTTATAGCGTTAAGCTTTCTATAATCAACGCATGTCCGAATAGAGCCGTCTTTCTTTTTAATTAACACCAGAGGAGAGGAATACGGTGAATTGGACTCTTCTATTATTCCAAAATTTAACATTGCATTAATTTCCTCCTTTAAATGATCTACCATATGTAGTGGTACGGTGTACGGCTTTAGTGTTATTGGTTTGCTATCCAGTAATTCTATTTTATGAATTCCGGCGGATGTCTTTCCGGGAATATCTGAAATTATGTCCTTAAACTCATGTAATATTTCATTAACTTCAGCTTTCTGTGTATCACTTAGATCAGTATTAATATCAATCACTGTGTTATCACTATGGTTAATAACAGGTACATTCATATCATCACCACTGCTGATTGTGTCTTCAGTCTCTTCTTCCGTTATAACTGTCGCGAGTGTGCCATGCATTATGTTATCTTTGTTACCGTTAGTATCTGCACAGTTATTCCTGTCAAAATATTTGGTAACTCTATTCAGGTGATAGACTTTATGACACCGTCCTTTTTGTATTTCAATATTATATTTAGACAATTTCTTTGTTACTTTGAATGGGCCTTCCGAGTGTAATGCTAGTTTATTTCCCTTTTTTGGTTTAATCACCAATACTTGATCAACCACTTGAATATCCTTAACAACTGTATTGCGGTCATAGTATTTCTTATTTGCAACCGTCTTTATTCTCGTGTTAGATTGTGTTTCTTCTAACCCTGTTTTTAATCTGTTTTTTAAGTCAATTACATACTCATAAACAGTTTTATTCTCTTCTGTCATGTTCTCATTTGTAAGTAGTTGTTTTAATATTGACATCGGTCCCCTAACCTTTCTACCAAAGATAAGTTCAAACGGAGAAAATAACGTGGTTTCATTCGGGACTTCCCGATATGCGAATAGAATTGCTGGTAAAAATCTGTCCCAGTTGTCTGGATCTTCATCAACAACTTTTCTTAACATTCCCTTTAGTGTACCATTCAATCTTTCCACCATTCCATTAGATTGTGGGTGATAGATAGATGAGCGATTAATCCTTATATTTAGAAGTGTACACACTTGTTCGTACATATCCGAGGAAAATTGTGGACCATTGTCTGATAGTATAACTTCTGGGAACCCCATTCTAGAGAATATGGATAATAATGCCTCATGAATATCTTGAGTTGTTATATTCTTCAGGGGAATGGCTTCTGGCCATCGAGTGGCCATATCAACCAATGTAAGGATATACCTGTTCTTATGTGCACTTAGTTGGAGGGGTCCCACTATGTCAATAGCAACTTTCTGAAACGGTATACCAATCACATCCATCTGACCCAGCTCTATAGGTTTAACATGTCCTGGCGGACGAGCTTTTTGACAGACAGGACATGTTTTCACGTATTTTGAAATATCCTTATTCATATTCGGCCAAAAAAACTCGGAAAAAATTCTGTATTTGGTCCTCCTAACAGACATGTGTCCCGCCAATGCTGAAGCATGAGCTGTGTCTAACACCATCCTGCGGTATGGTGCAGGTACAACTACTTTCTTCTCAATCCTACCACCAACGTTATAGGTAAATACTCGGTATAAAATTTTTTTACTTATCTCGTAAGTGATTTGTCCCTGTTTTGTGTGCTCGACACAATTCCTTTCAGCTTTTTTCCAGTATTTGGTTAACCCCTTATCACTGGCTTGATCATCTGGTAATTTTATGGTCTTTAATATTGTGGGAATTGTCATAATTGTATTTTTCATGGGTCTATCACCATCTGAATCTGATACGTTACCGTGGTGGCATGAGGATCTATTATCATCTTCCATTATATTTCCTAATATAACATCAGTTTCTGGGTCCTCAAAAAGAGCGGCTAAAAATCTCCAGCTCAAATAAGGGGTTTCAATATCAATATAAGCTGTTTGATAAGTCTGTATCGTCCCATCAATTAGCTTAATTGGATACGTCACGTCAGTTATTGAATTTTCTGATACCAAACTCTTTCTGCAACCCACTATTGTACACCCTGTGTCACGAAGTAGAGAGACCTCCCTCCCAAATAATAAACATTTTTCAATTTTTAGCTTCCTTGTTGACTTTCTAAGTACCTCGTCCACACTACCAACAAATTGCATTTCGCACATACGCGGACCCATATGAACCTTCCTTCCCCACCTCTTAGAACAGTATACTTTATCCAGTCGGTTGTATTTCGTCCTTAGTCATTTTGTCTCGTGTCTGGGCATTTGGTATTTATTAACATCATATCCAGTCTGACCACTATACCTATAACTTTGTCTGCCCCTGTTATCTCTAGGTCCTGTCTGTGTGGTTCCCCTATTATACCATAGACGGCAGTTGGCCTTTAGGTGTCCCACCTGTCCACATATGAAACAAGGGCCAATTACTCCACCCTCCGGATCAACTTCTCAATTTTCCCCTGTGACTTCCCCATTTTTCGGCACCACCCGCTACCAAAGGAAATGCGTTAACTTTTCTTGTTAATCTTACTTGTCCAGAGGATTTAATATTATCAATCTGTGTCAACACGTCCTCACATTTTTTAGCATTAAGTAACAGGGCACTTTTAACTGCATCACTGTTCATATTTAATAATAACTTATTTCGACACAATAAGTCTTTAAGTCCTTCGAATGTTTTATCTGTATTTGAGCTTGCCACCCAGTTATCTAAACTTCTAACTAGATTAGAATGGAAGGATCTAAAATTGTCATTTTCGGGTGTCAGGCTATTCCATTTATCCCTATACTTTTCCCCATGGTACCCAGCATGTTTTAATAGTAGTAATTTAACGGTGTCGTATTCCGACAGTTTTTGTCTCACGTCCTCGGTCATAAGAAAAGATTGTAGCTCCTCGGTCAACCTGACCTGTAGTTCGGTGATCCACTCATCTTTCGGAACATTATTCTGAGTGGCTATGTGTTCAAAATTAACGATGTACTCGTCAAGTTCGTGACTGTCGTCATACTTTGGTAGACTTTTGAGTAAATGATAACTTTTGTTCGTTCTTGTCTCGCTATTATTCACCTGAACAACCTCCGTTTTGTTGTTCATTTCTGCAAGTCTAATTTCTCTATCAAGTTTATCTAGTTCAAATTGTCTCTGACTCTGTTTATCTCTATCTATACGTTCTTCCTCTCTCTGTCTATCTATACGTTCTTCCTCTCTCTGTCTATTTATACGTTCTTCCTCTCTGTCTATCTATACGTTCTTCCTCTCTAGCTCTAAGTTCTTCCTCTCTAGCTCTAAGTTCTTCCTCTCTCTCTTCCCGTACGTGTTCTTCAAACTTAACTCTTATATACTCCGCTAGGTTCTCTCCCGTATAAGAGAGTAATTCCCCCGTTTTCCTAATAGATGCGATTTTTTCCTCTGTGCTCATTTTTTTTGCTTTGCTTCTAGTTTCCATTAATTGATTTGATTTGCTAGGACCAACCTCGGTATCTATAAATAAATTCTTGGTACAAACTAATCAAATATACATAAAAATATATAACAAAAATAATAACTTGCCTGGATTGTGAAATGTCCTACTTGAAGTAAAATAAATATTAATAACCAACACAGAGCACACACAGGTCCTGTGGGCCAATGAAATGTCAATAGGTTCCACACAAGAGGTTCTTGCATCAATTGTCAATGGTCACACAGGAACAATAATTGTTAATAGACCCTGGCAAATCACGGGATACAGTCATTGGGTTTTAGATGGCCGGAAAGATCGCAGGATGTCGAGTTCACTGGACAGGGCATAGGCGAATCGTCGACACTGGACAGTTTGTGTGTACTCGCCAATACAGGATCGGGCATGTGTAGCTTGAAGCAGGACGGGACGTTGATGGCTCGTTGAAGCAGGACAGGGCGTTGTTCAACTGGGTGACCGGACAGGGCCACAGGACATCACAGCTCACTGGACACGAAGTTGGTAGCTCACCACCGACAGGACGTAGATAACTCGATACAGGGAAATGCGTAGTTAATTCACTGGAACTCAACTGGACGTTGGCAACTTGATGAAGGTCAGGGCTGGGTATTTCACTGGAACTTGACACGAAGTTGGTAGCTCACTACCGAAAGAACGTAGATAACTCGATACGTGGAGGGGCGTAGTTAATTCACTGGAGCTGAACACGAAGTGGGTAGCTCACTACCGACAGGACGTAGATAACTCGATACAGCGATGGGCGTAGTTAATTCACTGGAACTGAACAGGACGTTGGCAACTCGATAACGGACAGGGCATAGTTAATTTGCTGTACTGGACACGAGATTGGCAACTTCATACAGGGCAGGACGTAGTTATTTCACTGGAACTGAACAGTATGTTAGCAACTTGACAACGGGCAGGGCGTAGTTAATTTGCTATAACTGGGCACAACATTGGTAACTTCATACAGGACAGGACGTAGTCATTTCACTGGAACTGGACACGAGGTCAGTAACTTGCTACAAACGGGACGTTGTTAACTTGAATAAAGGAAAGGCGAAGTTAGCCTGTTGCAGGTTAGGACATAACTAGCCTAATACAGGACGTAGGTGGTTGATGGAGTTACTGGCGTATGCAACTCATATAAACTTGACACACGGTGGCAGCGGGGCTCCGACATTGAAATATGGGAACATGCGACGATGGTTGTAACTTCACTAAAGTTGAATAATAAGAATGTTCTTGTACTTTACCTCAAGTATGAACATAACGAGGTTCACCAATCCCGGACGAGCCCCCATGTCAACTTCTACGTCTTCTTGGATTGATTACATTCGTCAGTTCTTTTTCACACGTTGAAGCGTCGTACTATTCTCACTATCATCGAACAAACTCAACTCCTTTTCATAATAACTATAACTTTAATGTCTATGTAAATATAATACACCTAACAAAGTGAATATAGCGCAGCTCGCTATCAGACCTAAATAACACACATCCTATCACTCCAAGGTTCCACTCAAGACTGCCGCACGACTAAAAACATACGTCACAATACTGCATAGACACTACGTCACGAATCAGCATAAAAATACGTCATAGAGACAATGGCGGGAAGAGCGTTCACTAACTATAATAGTCAAGCGCGGGAAAAGCGTTCAACAACTAATGAACATAATATTGAGTCGCAACAATTACTAATGAACGCTCATACTCGACATATCCCCCCTCTTTCATTTCAGATTTAACTAAGGGAGTTAAATCGTCACCAGACACACACAATTTACATGAATTACATCAAGAAGAGACCTTCAGCCATATGAATGGTCCTTATCAAAAAACATTATTTAGGTATCACTGAAAATCAAACAGATTTATGATATACTGCAATAAAATAAACAATCCTTCGTACATAATTCCCCTTTTTTTTTTTTTTTTTGCAGGTGCTCTTGCAGAAAGAGGTCTCAAGGCAATTCTTCCAGAGGAATCTGATTTCACCACACGTCTCACATCTGAAGTTCTTGAATCAAACGGTAAACAGTTGAACTGTTGTCTTTACCATCATTATGTTGTAGTTTGAACTTGAAGAACTTGATTTGCTTTATGGATTGAGGTTGGTAACAGTACTGACCTGCCTCTACCATTGAGCATTTATTCATTTGGCAATACTAATAAAAATGACCAGAATGTTAAAAAAATAGTAGCAGTGTAATTTATAAGCATAAATTATAAATCTTTCCGGGATAGTCTTTGAAATCTTTGAATGTTCAGTATAAGATTTAAGTGGTTCCAACTGGCCCCTGAGACTCAGTTTAAGCTCCCTTCACACTTGCCTGCCTGTAATGTGATCAAAGTTAACAATGTTTACAAAATTTATTTTGTACCAGGGTCTTCCTCCATGGCCTCGGTCTGTGGTGGCAGCATGGCTCTGATGGACGCAGGAGTTCCTGTCAAGGAAGCGGCAGCCGGGGTAGCCATGGGCCTCATCACACGCACTGAGCCCGGGACTGACAAGATTACACACCACAAAATCCTGACAGATTTATTGGTCAGTACGAGACATGTTATTGAATTGAGTATTTATCTAATAAGATCTAGGTTTATATTGATACAATACTGTTTGATTGATACACTGTGGACCTAGTACTCCTAAAAATAGACAAGTTTTTTGAAACAAGACCTATTCTCTCATGCTAGCCCTCAAATAGTATTTACTGTTAATGATAAAAAAGAGTTTTAAAAAAAATGTGTTAAGCTTTGTGTGTTGGTATTTGAACCTGTGAAGCTTTGTGTGTTGGTATTTGAACCTGTGCAGCTTTGTGTGTTGGTATTTGAACCTGTGGACTTGATGGAACTTGAACTGATTCCCACAGGGCATTGAGGATTACATGGGGGACATGGATTTCAAAATGGCTGCAACAGCTACAGGTCTAACTGCCATACAGGTAATGGAAAAACTACTGTAGAGATTTAGGGTAACGCACAGGACAATAAGACTTAATGATAGTGATCTATTCAAAACAACATATAGCTAGCTACCTGTAAGTTTTGACAACCTAGAATTGTGTCTGTGGTTTATGAAATTATCTTCTAGTTTTAATTGTTTGATGGTGGCTTTATTTTTTTTTTAAATTTCAAATAGGCTGATATCAAGTTACCCGGTGTTCCCTTTTTTATGATAATCAAAGCTTTGGAGGGTGGTTTTGGTGAGTCAGTACTCTGTCAACTGTTTAGGTGCGAGTCAGTACTCTGTTGGTCAACTGTTTATGTATGAGTTAGCACTCTGTTTGTCAACTGTTTATGTGCGAGTCAGCGCTCTGTTTGTCAACTGTTTATCTGTGAGTCAGTACTCTGTTGGTCAACTGCTTATGTGTGAGTCAGTACTCTGTTGGTCAACTGTTTATGTGTGAGTCAGTACTCTGTTGGTCAACTGTTTATGTGTTAGTCAGTACTCTGTTGGTCAACTGTTTATGTGTTAGTCAGTACTCTGTTGGTCAACTGTTTATGTGTGAATCAGTACTCTGTTGGTCAACTGTTTATGTGTGAATCAGTACTCTGTTGGTCAACTGTTTATGTGTGAGTCAGTACTCTGTTGGTCAACTGTTTATGTGTGAGTCAATACTCTGTTGGTCAACTGTTTATGTGTGAGTCAGTACTCTGTTGGTCAACTGTTTATGTGTGAGTCAGTACTCTGTTGGTCAACTGTTTATGTGTGAGTCAGTACTCTGTTGGTCAACTGTTTATGTGTGAGTCAGTACTCTGTTGGTCAACTGTTTATGTGTGAGTCAGTACTCTGTTGGTCAACTGTTTATGTGTGAGTCAGTACTCTGTTGGTCAACTGTTTATGTGTGAGTCAGTACTCTGTTGGTCAACTGTTTATGTGTTAGTCAGTACTCTGTTTGACAACTGTTTATGTGTGAGTCAGTACTCAGTTTATCAACTGCTTATGTGCGAGTCAGTACTCTGTGAACTGCTTATGTGTGAGTCAGTACTCTGTTGGTCAACTGTTTATGTGTGGAGTGAGTACTCTGTTGGTCAACTGTTTATGTGTGAGTCAGTACTCTGTTGGTCAACTGTTTATGTGTGAGACAGTACTCTGTTTGTCAACTGTTTATGTGCGAGTCAGTACTCTGTGAACTGCCTATGTGTGAGTCGGTACTCTGTTGGTCAACTGTTTATGTGTGAGTTAGTACTCTGTTTGTGAACTATTTATGTGTGAGTCAGTACTCTGTCAACTGTTTAGGTGTGAATCAGTACTCTGTTGGTCAACTGTTCATGTGTGAGTCAGTACCCTGTTTGTCAACTGTTTATGTGCGAGTCGGTACTCTGTGAACTGCTTATGTGTGAGTTAGTACTCTGTCTGTCAACTGTTATAGGTTCAATTGACAACAATTTTAAAATTGGAATTCTCATATACCTGCTAAATATATTTTTTCATTTATACATTTAAATAGTCTTTATATTTGCTATTAAAAAATTGATAATGGTAACTTTATATTTTATCTAAAAAAGAATCGATGATTTTTCCATATTTTTTTTTATTCTCCATTGCAAATCCTTCAAGTGGCACTGCTCTTTATTTCTATTGATATCTTGTCTAGACCAGTCTGTTTCAATGTTTGGTTCAAACATTTCCTTGCCTAGACCAGTCTGTTTCAATGTTTAGTTCAAACATTTCCTTGCCTAGATCAGTCTGTTTCAATGTTTAGTTCAAATATTTCCTTGTCTAGACCAGCCTGTTTCAATGTTTAGTTCAAATATTTTCTCTTGAAATGCAGCTGCCAGCAAACAGATCATGGAGATCATGGCAAAGACGATATCTGCTCCGAGGAAAACTATGAAAACATCTGGACCTGTCACAGGTATGCTGATGGTCAGTGTGGTCAACTAGATTTAGTAGCGTGAATGTTTGGTCAGTGTGGTCAACTAGATTTAGTCGCGTGAATGTTTGGTCAGTGTGGTCAACTAGATTTAGTAGCGTGAATGTTTGGTCATTGTGGTCAACTAGATTTAGTCGCGTGAATGTTTGGTCAGTGTGGTCAACTAGATTTAGTCGCGTGAATGTTTGGTCAGTGTGGTCAACTAGATTTAGTCGCGTGAATGTTTGGTCAGTGTGGTCAACTAGATTTAGTCACGTGAATGTTTGGTCAGTGTGGCAACTAGATTTAGTCGCGTGAATGTTTGGTCATTGTGGTCAACTAGATTTAGTAGCGTGAATGTTTGGTCAGTGTGGTCAACTAGATTTAGTCGCGTGAATGTTTGGTCAGTGTGGCAACTAGATTTAGTCGCGTAAATGTTTGGTCAGTGTGGTCAACTAGATTTAGTCGCGTGAATGTTTGGTCAGTGTGGCAACTAGATTTAGTCGCATGAATGTTTGGTCAGTGTGGTCAACTAGATTTAGTCGCGTGAATGTTTGGTATGAAGCGTTGATGGTGAGTTTTCTTGTGAGTTGTAGTTCGTGGAGTTGATTCGTGATGCTGAGCTTTACGGTATGCCAAGTGTTTGTTGTGTGGTGATATAAAAGGGTAGTGTGTTAGTTAGTTGTGTGGTGATATAAAAGGGTAGTGTGTTAGTTTGTTGTATGGTGATATAAAAGGGTAGTGTGTTAGTTAGTCGTGTGGTGATATAAAAGGGTAGTGTGTTAGTTAGTTGTATGGTGATATAAAAGGGTAGTGTGTTAGTTTGTTGTGTGGTGATATAAAAGGGTAGTGTGTTAGTTTGTTGTGTGGTGATATAAAAGGGTAGTGTGTTAGTTAGTCGTGTGGTGATATAAAAGGGTAGTGTGTTAGTTTGTTGTGTGGTGATATAAAAGGGTAGTGTGTTAGTTAGTGGTGTGGTGATATAAAAGGGTAGTGTGTTAGTTAGTCATGAGTTTGATAGAGAGACCAGAAGAGGGGGATAGTTTTTTTGTTGCCTGAACACAATACTTTTTCTGCTGGATGAATTATCTAGCAACTGCGTCGTGTAACAAGTGGATTTTTTAGTACATGGAATTAAATACATAATTTACAATGAACTATTCAGTGTTTGAGTTACTTGACCAAGAGAGAGATGAGAAATAACCAAACAGGTCTGACATTAGGTTAGGCATCAAATAGTCGACAACGGAGGTATTAGACCAACGAAAGAAGACCGTAACAGTCAGTGCTGCCACCACCCTCCTTACTAATGTCACTGCTGCACTCACCACTTATCAACACATTGGTGAAATTGACTGAAGAGCATTGCTTAGAATGAGAGTATTTAATTGGTAAAATAATGTACCTTAATGTTGCTAAATTAACTATGTGAATTTTTTTTTTTTTTTTTTTTTTTTTTTTTTTTTTTTTTTTTTTTTTTCCCCCCCTTTTTTTTGTTATTTTTTTTTTTTTTTTTTTTTTTTTCTTTTTTTTTTTTTTTTTTTTTTTTTTTTTTTTTTTTTTTGCTTGAATTACCAACCCAATTCTTGAGAAATGATGTTTAAAATTATTATTGCTCCCTTTTTGTGTAACGATTTGTTTAATTTGAACAGAAAAGCTTGAGCTGGACCATTCAAAACAGACGAGACTTGCAGGAATTGGTGGCTACAACATTAAGAAGATCAAGTCAGAAACAGGTATGTGGCAATGCTGCAGTTTGTTTTCTCTTCCTACGCATCCCCCTAAAAGGAAATGGACAGATAAATGTAAATGACCACAAGGTTGTTAGTGAACGTCAATGTGTTTCGTAAATGTATCGTAACCGCTGATTTTAATTAGCCACATTCGACATCATTGAATTGAATTTTATTTTGAAACTGTTAACATTTTAGCAGGTCACCTATTTTAGTTTGGAAGTTAACCTTTCAGTAGCGTAGCTTCAATTAAGAAATTACCTTTAGTACAAAGCGAAGGGAAATAACTCCATTTTGACCATAAGTGGGGGACTTAAATAAGTCTTCATTAGGACCAGTTTGTTACAAATTCTTCAATGTCAATTGAACGCAAATCATTTTCACATATAATTACCTGCATTCAAATGCAAAAAGCAAATGGAAATTTTTGCCAATGCTTTATAATTATAGGCCAACTTTATAATTATAGGCCAAATTTTTAATTATAGGCCAACTTTATAATTATAGGCCAACTTTATAATTATAGGCTAACACATTGTTACGCACTGGCTTCTCTTGTGAGAAATTAATCTCTTGTTTAAATTTATGGCTCGTTCAAACAGTGCCTAACAAAGGACGATACCATAGAGAAATACAATAACAAAAAAATACGACACCCAAAACAGTACCAATTACAATTAATAAGATTTAATTCAGTAATAATACAATTACAAAACAAAAGAAATATTATTACAAACCATCAACTTACAGTATGGTAGATCTTGTACCGGCACACAGTTAACACAGTTAGTACAATGTGCCAATGAATAATGGTCAATGCGAATAAACACATATAAGTACACAAAGAATAATACACGTCTCGTGAAGTTAAAAATATCCATCAATCTCCGTCCCTGTCTGTGCCTGTCAATCCTTTATATATGTGGTCTACCGACATGTCTAGAAATGCCCTTACTTTTCTAATACAATCGAGAACGTTCCATAAGATACTAGTAGACGTACTAACCATGTTTAATTGGAAGTCGGTAGTAAACAAGATAAATCGAAGAGATTTAACCACGCCCACAACAAACGTTACTGTCTGCTATGAGTCTAATGTGGGGTCAAAGAAAGTTCACGCACGGGGAAAAAGTGTACTACATAACAACATATTTTATGAAGTATAATAGTCTAAGTCATCTGAACTTTAAATTTTTGTTCTAAAAATAGATTGATTTAAATTTGAGTGGAGTCCTTCTAAAGCTTAGCTTCCAAACAAGACAAGCTCTGAATTTTGAAAATCTCATCTGATCAGAGCAGATTCAATTGTAGAATAGGAACTTGAACTTTACTTCACTGAGGTGAAATTTGTGCACTGAGAGATTGAGTTTTCAGTGTTGAAAGTTGTGCACTAAGAGATTGAGTTTTCAGTGTTGAAAGTTGTGCACTGAGAGATTGAGTTTTCAGTGTTGAAAGTTGTGCACTGAGAGATTGAGTTTTCAGTGTTGAAAGTTGTGCACTGAGAGATTGGGCTTTCCATGTTGAAAGTTGTGCACTTAGAGATTGAGCTTTCCATGTTGAAAGTTGTGCACTTAGAGATTGAGCTTTCCATGTTGAAAGTTGTGCACTGAGAGATTGAGCTTTCCATGTTGAAAGTTGTGCACTGGGAGATTGAGCTTTCAGAGTACAAATTGTCAACAAGAACTTCACTTATTAAATGAGAACCCTGTGTTAGACATTGATAAACACCAGTATGTGTCTTGTTACAGAAACTGTTACTTACATCAGATTTGTACATAGGATTGCTCTTGCAAGCGTGGAAAGATATGTAAGATAGATTTCTTACATTGGAAACAAGAATCAATTAGTGTTTGAAAAGATATGTAAGATAGATTTCTTACATTGGAAACAAGAATCAGTTAGTGTTTGAAAAGATATGTAAGATAGATTTCTTACATTGGAAACAAGAATCAATTAGTGTTTGATGAAGATGTGTTACAATTATGTTAACTGTAGTTTTCACAGAATTATGTATTAACTGTACTATACACAGGTGTAACAATAACTAGAATTGATGAGAAGAGCTTCCAGATGTTTGCCCCTAACATTGAAGCCATGGCAGAAGCTAAAGAAATGATTGAGAAGCTCATGGAGGACCAGGTAGGCATTCACTAAAGTGTGCCCCAATGTTGGAGATGAACCTTGAAGTTTAAGAATCAAGACGAAATAAATAGAATTTTACTTTTTATGCTTGAGGTTCAATGGGTAGAAATGTTTTATTGAGATGTTTGTGTTAGATCTACATGTGCTCTTCTTGCAATGTGAGCTTCTTCTAAGTTATTGGTAAATCTTGATGTTTCCTTTTTTAAACTGACTAGGGTTTATATACATATATATATATATATATATATATACATAATCTATTATTTCTGTTCAGAAAGAACCAGACCTTGACTTTGGAGCCATCTATACTGGAAAAATTGTTGAAGTAAAGTAGGTGGTCTCTATTTTACTCATACCAAGTTATTTGCATTAATTTATTCCATACAGTATTTAAGTTTATTGGAGGTTGGGGTTTCTGCTCCTATAATCCAATATTTAATATTTATCTCACTTGAAATCATATTGAACTTCTCCTGTGATAATTTGTTAAAACTCCAAATACCAAGTTTTTAGGAACTATGTGTTAGAATTGTCCAAATAACATGTCACCTCCGTCTATAAAGCTTAATCTAATGATGTTTCATCGGGCTCACTCATTGATTCATGGGGCAATAAAGAAGAAAAGACAACTTTTAAAAACTGTTCCAGTAAATAGTTTCTCTAATAACATTTTTAATGACCATGATTTCGCTCAGCTAAAAAAAATGCATTTTCTCTCTGATGTAAACTCAGGGATTTCGGTGTGATGGTTGAACTCCATCCGAGGCTGAAACCAATTCTGCTGCACAATTCACAGCTGGATCAGAGAAAGGTGGGTTCATAGTGTTATACAGTCTGCTACCCAGAAAGGACGATTCTTTTATTTGTGTTTTAAAAAAAATCTTTCAGTGAATCTCAACTGTGAGATAAAATTATTTTTTAATGCAAATTTTTTTTTTGCTACTTTATATTTTGCAATAAATAAATTTTAAAAAATACATTGAAATATTTCAGACTGTCTTGTTACAGTTAGTCTCATTTTCGTTTTCTTAAATTTGAAAGCAACTTAAGTTGATTTTTCCTAAAGAAGCAGACCCTTTCGTTTACTCCTGGAACCAATGCTATGAAGGTGCCATATAATTCGCTTTTACTGATGAAATAGACTAAAAGATCTTCATTGTCGTTGCAGCTCTGAGGGATAATTTTGAGTTGGAGAAAGTTTGGACATGTTTACTTTCATTAGCTCTGCTTCTTTTTGCACTCTTGCAGGTATCCCACGCAAGCTCCCTTGGCATGGAGGTAGGTCATCAGATAACTGTGAAATACTTTGGCAGGGATCCAGCGACGGGGACCCACCGCATTTCTCGAAAAGTTCTACAAGGACCACCAATTCCTTTAATACGGAATCTCAACCCAAAATCATCAGAGCAGCAATAGAATCGCCATTACGCGTGATACAAATCTGATGACTAAGTCTATCCTTAGACTTGTGTGAATGCTGTGTATTTGTTTGAGAGATATGAAGCCAGAAACATGATATGCACTAGACTTGTGTGAATGCTGTGTATTTGTTTGAGAGATATCTTAAGAATCACATACAAGCCAGAAACATGATCTGCACTTGTTGCTCCAATATTAGTTGTGAGTGCGTCTTTAAAAAAAGAAATACTATATTAATAAATGAATGTCTGTTTTTATTCTGATGATGTTTTTTAAGATTTTTCTTTTCAGCATAGGTTGTTATCGAGGCAATAGTAATTTTGTCTTAGTTCAATTATAACATCAGTTTGTTCGGCTGATGGTTGCAGAATTTTATTTGAAAAAAATTTATATTAGGACTTTGGGCGGCACCTAACATCTGATAGTTTGAGGACAGATCTGTTTCATACATAATAGGTTGATCATGTCCCTGACGCACAAAAAGTTGGCCAATCCAATGTGTGTTTCATACAGAACTATAGGAGTTTCAGCCCCTGCCTCTCTGTCGTTCACTGACGGGATGAGTATTAAGCTTTCTTGACTGCATGGCAGTGTACGGTTACAACTGTGCCAGTCTACAGATTTTACTAATACTACTGACACTACTGTGTGCTGGAACGCCTTATACTTTTTAGAAATTTCAGATGCAGTATAATTTTGTTGATACATTGTTACTGTCTTTGTATATAAATTTATACATAACAAACGGAATGAATCGTTCAAATAAAAAAGAAATGCATTTAAAAATTTCACCTTTACCTTATTATATTATTTGAAAACAATGTTGACAATGGAATCCATAAAGATTAAAATCATAATTTTAAATGATTAACATTAATTTTTTTGTCACCTCTTGAAATAAATTCTCGGGACATTTGGGTTTTCAAAAATATTAATACCGATATTTGTAATGTATGCTCTTGTTGAAAAGATATTTAGTAAGAAAGTTGCATCAGGAAAAGTGAAGGAAAATATATCGCACAGTTTAATTGTTTTTTTTCTGTATAGAAAGAACATTTTTTTAAATTACCTTTTTGAAACTATTTCAACTGATTCAGCCAGTAGATGGGTAATCTAATTCAGCCAATAGATGGGTCAAACTGATTCAGCCAATAGATGGGTCAACTGATTCAGTCAATAGATGGGTCAACTGATTCAGTCAGTAGATGGGTCTACTGAGTCAGCCAGTAGTAGGGTCATCTTTAGTCATGATCTAAGAAACTTCTTTATATTATTCTCTGTGTCATCCAATTCTGTAAAGTATACTCAAACTCACTTATCTCGTCCTCAGTTAACACGCCAACCCTGTTAAGTCGACTTTTTTGAAGTGGAACTGCCAAAGTCTCTCTTTGTCTTAGCGTTTTCTCAGCGATTCTTTTATGTTGCCGAACCCTAATATCTCGAGCACAAAAGGGGGCTAAATTTGCCACTTAACGTCGGCTATCTCGAATCACATGACCAATCGCCTACTTTTGAACTCCGCAAGAAAAATAGCGAACAACAAATTAATAAGTTTTGCATACTTCAAACTGTAGTAATTTAAATGAAATGACAATATCCTCCACGCAAGTAACTTGACACAGCAAGAATCGAGGTGCTTGCAAACGAAAGCGAGAGGCTTGCAAAGAAAAGAGAGAGGTCGCAGTACCTGTTCTATTTATAGCGAACCTGCTTTTAGCTGAATTGGCTTTAGGGAATTCTTACTAGTTGATTTTTTTTTAAACCCAGAATCTGTATTTGAATAGAATGACCTGGCGAATCCGGAGCGAGAGAAAATAAAAACTCGAATCCGGAGCTGAAAATGAAAAATATTTAGCCTCATGAATCCAAAATTCCGGGATAATCCGGAAAAGTGGCACCTCACACATGCCTTTTGTGTTTAGTGAACATGTATGTATATTTTTGTTGCAAGCCGATCGCTTCATCAAACAAATCTCAGTAATGCTGTTGTGTCAAAAAATCTCCAATAACAAGTGCATGTACATTCTCATTATTAAACGCACATCATGTACAAAAAGAAATTTCAAGCACATGTTAACATTTTGCCGCCTTATTGGTTTCGGTTATCTCGATCATCAGTTATCTCGTCCCTTTTGGGCAAACCGTTATGCCGTCTACATAACCGGGTTCCATTGTAAAATGCTGACATTAAAGTAAATTCTTTCAAGTAAACATGTCCAATTTTTTTTTAGACCAATATTCTGACAAAATCCCAAAATAAAACAGATCACAGTCTAGATTCTACACTTATTCCAGCTCAGAAATGGAGAATTGATGACTGACCCCCATTCTCTGCCTGTACGCTGACCCTCATTCACTGCCAGTAGGCTGACCCTCATTCACTGCCTGTGGACTGACCCTCATTCACTGCCTGTGGACTGGCCCTCATTCACTGCCTGTAGGCTGACCCTCATTCACTGCCAGTAGGCTGACCCTCATTCACTGCCTGTAGACTGACCCTCGTTCACTGCCTGTAGGCTGACCCTCATTCACTGCCTGTAGGCAAATAGGAAAATTCAAGGGGTCAAGCTATACAAATCAAAATAAAGGAGCAAATACAACAGACATGCGTCAAAAAAGGTTATTAATAACAGTAAAAAGTACAGGATTAAAATAAAAGTAACACAACGGAAGACTGGATGTGGATAGGTGAAATGGAGTTTATTTTCAAAGGGAAAATTTTTTTTTTAAAATTCAATCAAGTCTTAAAAATGTTTTGTTCTTTTCAGTAAGGAAAAAATATCAACCACTATTTTTTTTAATATCTCAAAGGCCATGGTACTGGTACACTTCAAAATTCATGACCAAAGAGTGTAAATTGCTGGGCTTGCAATTATTTATTGGAACAACTGATTAAGGGAGGTTTGTGACACTCAGTGACAGAGTTTGAAGTGAGAATATTCCTTCTCTTAGATAAGTTTCCATCCAGGTTAACAAATCTCATGCATCATGGGTCCTGGTGGTGTTTTAGCTTGTTAGTGCTTTAGCTGGGGTTTGTTTGGGAATGATTCAGTTTAAACCATGGGTCCTGGTGGTGTTTTAGCTTGTTGGTGCTTTAGCTGGGGTTTGCTTGGGAATGATTCAGTTTAAACCATGGGTCCTGGTGGTGTTTTAGCTTGTTGGTGCTTTAGCTGGGGTTTGCTTGGGAATGATTCAGTTTAAACCATGGGTCCTGGTGGTGTTTTAGCTTGTTGGGGCTTTAGCTGGGGTTTGCTTGGGAATGATTCAGTTTAAACCATGGGTCCTGGTGGTGTTTTAGCTTGTTGGTGCTTTAGCTGGGGTTTGCTTGGGAATGATTCAGTTTAAACCATGGGTCCTGGTGGTGTTTTAGCTTGTTGGGGCTTTAGCTGGGGTTTGCTTGGGAATGATTCAGTTTAAACCATGGGTCCTGGTGGTGTTTTAGCTTGTTGGGGCTTTAGCTGGGGTTTGCTTGGGAATGATTCAGTTTAAACCATGGGTCCTGGTGGTGTTTTAGCTTGTTGGGGCTTTAGCTGGGGTTTGCTTGGGAATGATTCAGTTTAAACCATGGGTCCTGGTGGTGTTTTAGCTTGTTGGTGCTTTAGCTGGGGTTTGCTTGGGAATGATTCAGTTTAGACAGTCGGGACCCAATTAATGTTGATGGATCAGAGGCGTGGTTGCGAAAGGGGGGTGGGGCGCCAGATTAGCTAGGTTATTGTAAGAGGGCATTATGCTTTTAAAAATATGCTTATTAGCATAATTTTAAATGTACTCGATTCCATGTATGTTGAGCTAAATCAGGGGTCACCAAACTGCCGGCCGGATATGTCTTCAATTTACCATTTTTAACAAAAATTATTGTATCTAGATTTTCTTGTTTATTGTAATGTTTGCTTATTTCGTGGCTTGAAGAAGCATTTTCGTGAGAGATCTTCAGTCTAGAGAGGGACATTCTTCTGTTCCCGAACCCGTTTGATTGTAACCTTGATCATGTGCCAGTTGAATTACAATTGGAGCTCATTGATTTGCAAGCAAATGACTTGTTGAAAGGGAAGCACAGAGAAGGAAAACTTGTTGAATTTGACCACTAATGACCTGATGTTGGCTTTCCAAAACTGAATAAATTTGCCGCTGGTAAGGAATCGGTGTTTGGATTCAAAAGCAAACATTTTCAAAAATGAAGATTGTTAAGTCAACACATCGAACGAGATTGACTGATGAACAGTTGCAACCAATTCTCTTGATTGGATGCAGAAATTCCAAACCAAAAATTGATGATATCTTAAAAACCAAACATCAGTTTCACAAATTTCACAAACCATTTAATTTTTTTTTTTTTTGCTGCTTAGTTTGTGAGATACGGATATGAGCGCACTAGGTCTGATGTCACTATCTTTAACTTTTTGCTAACGGTGCCCTCTTTGATAACTTCGTTTATTAATTTAGTATCTACCCCCCCCCCCAAATATAAATAAATATAAAAAGCCACATTACTAATAGTATTGAGCAAAATAATATTATTATTTGCATAACACAAGCAGATTTGTCGCTTGACTTTTTGAGGCCTTCTGTCACTTTTCGGTTTTGTCCTCCCCCACCTTGCATTGAAATATGATAATTAAGAAAATTAAGTGACACCTATTTTTTTTTAAACTAGCATCTCTTCCATTGCTCTCCAATTAAGTTTAGAATGTTGCAAAAGTAAATTCAGATATGTGCTAAAATTCAGTCTTGTATTTTGAATTTACCAGGGGACACGATTAATTTTTGCGCCTCTTCCATCTCAACTCTGAAACCCATGAAAGCCGATTTTGGCGCCCCCGCTAGTCTGGCAATCCGGGACGAGTGCCAATCTGCCAACCCTTAGGCTGCCTTAGCTACACTTCTAGCCACTCCCCCCCCCCCAACCCCCAATTTGAAATGGCCTTCCTGGGAGGAAATGTGTGAAAGAAACATTGAGGACAATCACCGTGCCTACAACTAATTATAGAGGTGAGTATTGAGGCCGGCAGGCTACTGTAAGTAAATTTAACTCAAAACAAAATTTTGTTAGTTTTGTCAATAAATATTTAGCCAGTTAATCCAAACCAATATTCAACCAACATCTCAATTTTCCATACCGTGGCGTATCTGCATCGATAAGTAATATTTTATGCCTCTGTCGTCATTTATTAAAAGACTCTAATGATTCTCAATTTCCCAGTATTTCTTTTCTTCTATTTTATGTATTTCGAAAATATTTTGGTCCGTTAAGATTTCAGACCTTATTTTCACAGCAACAATATATTTATTAGACTATTCTTTCACTTCATGTAATCCTGGTTGAAAATCCAACTTCCGGCAATAACAATGGGGATCACTTAAGACACTTAAGGTTTTAACTATTCACTATTTCTATCTAGTTGTATTTTCAATTGTCCTGTTTGCTGAGAAGGCTCTTAGCTGAAACGTTCATATCTTATTGTCATGTATTTTTATTCAAGCTTCAACACACCTCGTTCTATTATTTCAATTAAAAAGACAGAGTGTTGACGGGAGTTAATCAGCTGACGGTAATGAGTGAGTAATGGTGGGCTCAGTTACAATCTAAAACTAAAATTCATTAAAATATATAGTAATTGTTAAAACATATTAGTGAGTGTGTTTGTATGACAATGTTAGCAAGTGAACAATGCTTTAAGAGACTTTCTGAATGAAACGTTTTCATTCAGTTTCTATATTCTTGTATCTCTGCTCTAAGAAAAATTTATTCAACAGCTCCTGGTACTGAGTACTGGTAGGTAGTTATGTAATCTGACACTGATAATTGTTTTACCAATGGCTTGGATGTCATGAATTAATTTGTGA